TAAGAAAAGAACAAGTAATCCATTTCATTGTGGGCAAGGGACTTGAACAGAAGCTTCTCTGAAGATGATAGGCACATGGCCCATGGACCATGAAAAAATGCTCATCATCTTTAATCGTCAGAGAAATGCAGATCAAAACCACTTTGAGATATCGTCTAACTGCCATAAGAGTGGCTCACATCACAAAATCCCAAAACTACAGATGTTGTCGTGGATGTGGAGAAAAGGGAACACTTTTGCACTGCTGAGGGGAGTGCAAGCTAATACATCCCTTTTGGAAAGAAGTTTGGAGAATACTTAGGTATCTAAAAGTAGACCTGCCATTTGATCCTGCAATTCCTCTACTAGGTGTATATTCAAAAGACCAAAAATCACTTTATAACAAAGATATTTGCACCATATTGTTCGTTGCAGCTCAATTCATAATAGCCAAGTCATGGAAGAAGCCCAAGTGCCCATCGACCCATGAATGGATTAATAAATTGTGGTATATGTGTACCATGGAATATTATGTAGCCTTTAAAAATATGGAGACTTTACCTCTTTTATGTTTACATGAGTGGAGCTGGAACATATCCTACTTAGTAAAGTATCTCAAGAATGGAAGAATAAATACCCAATGTACTCAGTACTATTATGAAACCAATTTACAATCACTCACACTTTCATATGAAGAATAGATCACAACTATGGCCAAAGATGAAGAAGGGAGGGGGGTAGGAGTGGAGAGGGGAGGCCAGATCGATGGAGGGTGAATGGTGGAATCACACCTATGGTGCATAATGCAAGGGTACATGTTGCCTCTATTAGTATAGAGTATAAATGTCTTAACACAATAACTAAGTAAACGGTATGAGGTATATATTAACCAGTGCGATGTAAGCATTCCTAATTCTATATGAAATCAGCACATTGTACCCCATAATTGAATTAATGTATACATCATCTATGTCTTTATGATTTAATTAAAGAAAAAAAAAACAGCCAGGACACGGATTGAAGGTACATGCCTGCAAGATGTGGGCTTCCGAGAAACCTCTCTCTTGGCTTTTTTTTTTTTTTAAGTAAATCATAGCTGTGTACATTAATGCAATCACAGGGTACAGTGTGATGTTTTCATATACAATTTAAAATACTCTCATCATCTCTTGGCCTTTTATTGAAGCTTCAAACTACAGAAGTGGGGACCCATGTACTACAATCACATGCTTAATGGTTGCTAAGTGCTCTTTCCACTAGGGCTCAACTCTCATCCTTTAGCCCTATGAATGTTACAAAGTCTAACACTTGCTTGCTAACAAGCTACCAATCTTATCTCATTAACACATGCAGCTGCTTGAGGGCTTATCTCCAGACTGCAAAACATCTCTATGCCAGCTAGGAAATTGTCTCACTCCCAGCGTCTTCTTTAAGAGCCAGTGGTTGCTTCTCTAAGCCTGATGTTCAATCTCCTACACAGGATATACTATCCTAGGCTGTAAATTGTTTTGTTTAAGAAGGTTGAAAGTTGATGACCATCCTTTTCTGGCTTGGAAAGGTTCCGCTGAAAGATCTGCAGTAACCCTTATACTTTTACCTTTGTAAGTAATACTTTTCTTATGCCTGACTAATTGCAGAAGTTTCTTCTTCATATTGACATTGGCAAAATTAACTACAAAGTGTCTGGGAGATGCTTTGTTTGGATTGAGTCATGCTGGAGTTTTGAAAATAGTATCTAAATTTCTGTCTCTTGCAATACTTGGGAAGTTCTCCACCATGTCTTGGAGCAGAGAATTTGTGCCTTTGACCATCCTGTTCTCCTTCAGGAATCCCTATAATTCAGATATTTGATTTCTTAAAGCTCCACTCTCCTCCAGCATATCAGTCCCAGCCTCTGGGCACTGTTCAAAGTCACTTGCTCCTTCACCCAACGTCTCCTAACATGAGCCTTGCTCTGGGACCCTGAGGGCCAATTCTACAGGGCAGCTTTCCCACAATGGCTGTACCTGGCCTGCAGCCAAATAATGAAGGCTCCATTCTGCCCTGGCTCAGTCGCCCCCCCATCCCCCGCCCACCTCTGGGCACTGTTCAAAGACACTTTCTCACTGATCCAAGGTCTCCGAAGGTAAATCAACCCAGTGCCTTACTCCAGAAAAATCCAAAAACCCCACAGGGTAGGCCTTACCTGTCTGCAATCTCTTGCCACTGCTATAGCAGCTACCCCTGCAGTCACCACAGCCGTTATAGCTGGCCTCAGATGGATGGCATCCACTTGCCATTTCTCTGCTGCTTTTCTCCTCTTCCTGGGGTCCTGCCAACTCTCACCACCTCCCTGTGCCCCTGAAAGGATATTTCTGGGTAGAGCCCACAAGCCAGAGGTTCCTGGAGTCTTCTCTCCCCAATCTCCTCACGCTTAGTTGCAAAGATACTGTCTATACTCTGCCACCTTGCTCCACCTCCCTCATGCTTTATTATCCAATTAGCCAGCCTATGCCTCTTCAGTGAAGAATTCAAGTCATTAACATTTAGAGAGAATTGATAAGTGTGGTGGAGTTCAAGTCAACCTATTTGTGAAAGTCATTGCTTCGTTTTATCTTTTGCATCATTGTGGAAGCTGGGGTTTGTCCTTTAGTTTCTGTGTGTTTAGTTTGCTGGTGTTCCATTATTATTGTCATTGTGAAGAATAGGTATAAGTATTTCATATAGAGCTGGTTTTATTATGACAGACTTTCTCAGTGTTTTCATATCAGTAAAATATTTGATTTCTCCATCTATTTTAGAGCTTAGCTTAGCAGGATATAGAATTCTGGGCTAAAAATTATTTTGTTTAAGTATGTTAAAGGTAGATGATTGTTCTCTTCTGGTTTGGACAGTTTCTTTTGAGAAGTCTACCATTACCTTGATGGATTTGCCCTCGTAGATCAATTGGTGCTTAGTCCTGGCTGCTTCAGAATCTTCTCTTTTATCTTGACTTTGGACAGGTTCGTGACAATGTATCTTGCAGAAGCTCTGTTTGAATTGAGATGACCTGTTGTTCTATACCCCTCTGAAAGAAGTGTGTCAGAATCTTTGGTGATACTTGAGAAATTTTTATTTATGATGCCCACGAGTAGAGCCTCCATTCCTCTGGGGCTTTCTTCTTCCCCTTCTGGGATACCTATAATTTGTATGTTTGAACACTTCATAAAGTCCTACAATTCTCTCAATGAACATTATGCTTTCTCTCTCCTTGTTTTCTGTCTCTAACTGGGAGGCTCAGGCAAGAGAATCACTTAAGCCCAAGAATTTGAGGTTGCTGTGAGCTCCGATGCCCCAGCACTCTACTAAAGGTGAAATAGTGAGACTCTGTCTCCAAAAAAAAAAAAAAAGAAAAGAAAAGAAAGAGACAGGACTAATAGTGGTGTACAGTAGGTTACTTTGACCCATACACACAAATCCCAGCCTCTGGGGGCTGGGTTAGTAGATCCCCTGAGGTAAGGACCTCTTTGCCAGCCTGAGCAGACACAAGATCCCAGCTCCAGGAAATTAGAAGAAAATCAAAAATACTATAAATAAAAACAAAACAAGCAAATAAAAAACCTTAAGGGAAAATTGAGGGGAGGGAAGTATAACAGGAGCAAGAAAACTAGCAACACTGGAGCCCTCATTATTGAAGAAGGAAAGAATGAAAAGTTAAAATTACAGGTGAAAAAAAGGAAAAGAAAAATCTAGGGGGAAATAGATTAAGGAAAATATTTTTACAAAAAGGAAAATATATATATACATCTTACCATATGTTACCTGGGCAACAGGTTATCTTCTGGGGTATTAGATGCTAATCATGATGCTGATACAACTGTATAAGATGGAGGCTGGAAGCCTGTGTATTGCCAAGGAGACCATGTCCTGTCTTCCTGACTTCTTTGCCCTCAATCACCACAGGGTTGGGAGCCTAAAGCTCTCAACCTGCTTAATAGACGCACCTCGACCTTTCCAAGCCATGTCCCTTAGCCATGCATTGGCTTTCCCTGGAAAGCATCTATCACTCAGATCTCCTAAGGAGAGGCTGCCTTGCTTATCAGGCATGCCAGTACCATCCTCATACTAGGACCCTATGGGCTAATACTGCAAAGCAGCTTTCCCACAATGGCTGTGCCACAGCCGAACAAAGAGAGCTCTGCTCTGCTCAATGGCTCAGTCCTGCCCCTAGGTGCTGTTCAAAATCACTCCCTTGCTCACTCACCCAACCTCTCCCAAAGTAACTACCCCAGAAGGGCAGGACTTCTGTCAGTAAACTGGTGTGGCCAGTGCCACTGACACTGCCACCACCACACAAACTGGCCTCTGCCATCACGCAAGTACTCACCCTTGTGCCGCTTCTCCTCTTCTTCCAACCTCCTCTTAGGGCCCTAAAGTCTCCTGATGCCTTTTTATGCCCCCAAAGGGATGTATCTGGGAAGAGCCTGCCAGCCAGGGGTGCCTGGAGTCCTTTCTCCCTGATCTCACTATGTACAACTGCAAAGAAGCTGTCTCTAGTCTGCTATCTTGCTCTATTTACATGTATAAATTCTTAATAAGTGTCTAATGTTGATGAACAAGTTCACAGTATCCTCTCATATTCTTCACAATTTCATAGATTCATTTCTATTCTAAGTCTCTATATTTCCAGGCTTAGAAGTTTTAATTATTTCAGTCCATGTGCATACATACATTCTTTGCCTTTCTCTGAGTGGCATCTAACTCCAATTGTTCTTTTATTTTTCCTACTTTCAAATAAAGACTCTACTAAGTACCCTAATGATGTGAAAGAGTGGTGAAAAATAAATTAATGACCTGGATAATCTACAAACTGAATAGTCCTTAAATAAGAATTTATTGCAGTATGAATACCTAAGCAGTATACGCTACCAATTTATTTTGTAATTCTATCATTTTAAGCAAGTGACTCAGAAACTCTAAACAAGAAAGAAAATAGAAAAAAAATAGGGAGGGAATGGAAGGCAGATTAGAAGTCATTCTGTTCTAATATTTCTGATGACTAGCTGAGGAAGCCACAGAGGGCCTGATGAATCTCAGTCCTTCAGCCATGAAGAATCTTCTGCATCACATTCTCAGTGGCAAGGAGTTTGGAGTGGAACGAAGCGGTAAGATTGAATAACTGCATTTCCATTTCAGACTGTTTGGTTAAGTGCCTTATTCATTTTTAAATATTTTAACTTCTATCAGAGGAACTTTCTCCCACAAATAAATAAAACTTAAATATGTAAAACAGTTAAAAGCAAAACTGTCTTCTGACACAGAATTAGAAAACTACTATGAATCTCATCTTTTTATTTCTTTCAGTGATGTGTGGACTAAGTGGATTGCTTACTATCATGTTTTGTTTTCAATTTTTTATTCATTACCTTACATTATGTTATGTCTCTACTTTAGGACAACTAGCAACCCCTATCATTGGAAACTTTCTTATATTCTAATTACCAGTAATTCGTGCCATTTACAGTGATATATATGTGTAGCTGCTTACAGTATATCTAATGTATCTTTTCAACTTTTACTTAAAATATGACTAGGAGTCCTTCACAAATTAATCTTCCACCTGCACTTGTGATTTTGGCAGTATTTTGTGTTGCATACCTAAAGCAGCAGAGCAAATGAAAAGACATTATCTCTCATGCTCAACTTACATGCTTAGGATAACAATATAAGGTCAGATAAATGGATTCCAGACCTTATAGTGGTAAAAGATAGTTAGAAAGCAGTATTCCTCAAGCTGAGGATCTTGCTAAATTGCAGATTCTGACTGAGTAAGTCTAGAGTGGGACCTGAGATTGTACTAACACTAACTCCTTGGTAATGTTGATGGTGCTAGTTTGTGGACTACCTTTTAAAAATAGCAAGGCTTAAAAAAATAAAAATAGCAAGGTTAGGTTATAGTTAGCTTCTAAATTAAGTAAAAAATAAAGACATACATCTGAGTCTTTTTACCATGGTAGAGAAATTATCCTCTCTCTTTCTCTTTAATCTTTCATGCTATATAGTTCGTCCCATTGATTCAAATGTCAGTCCCGCTATTTCTATCCATGAGATTGGTGCCACTGGAGCAACCAAAACAGAACGAACTGGGATCATGCAGTTGAAAAGTGAGATAAAGCAGGTAAGATACTACTTGGGAGATTAGCTGGGATATTGCCATGTTTATAAATATTCTTTTGGAATCAGACTTTATTGGGATCAATTATTTCATATCCTGAGTTTAATATGAGCCATTTATTTTTCAGGTGGAATTTCATAGACTGTCTATCTCAGCTGAAAGCCAGGTGAAATAACTAGAGATCATTTAACATAGTTTAGCTTGCCTTTAGTTTTATATAACATACATGAGCTTATGGCCTTTTTACAAATAAGTAACAAACCATGAAGTAGCTTGTTTGAGTCTCCTTTGTAACAAACATTTTTTAAATAGCTAACATGTTTCTGTACCAAACTACTTTGCTAATTTTAAGAAGGAAAGTAATTTGCATATGATAGCAAGAAATTGAAATTCTGAGTTGCTGTTGTTAGGAATGGCATGCAATTTTAGAATTAATTTTCGTTATAAAACTGGACTTAGACATCTTACTTTTAAGAACAGGTACTAGAGGGCAGCGCCTGTGGCTCAAAGGAGTAGGGTGCTGGCCCCATATACCAGAGGTGGCAGGTTCAAACCCAGCCCCAGCCAAAAAGTAAAATAAAATAGAGAATAGGTACTAAAGAAAACATGATATTAGGTGAGAGCCTTGTTTTTTAAATTTGTTTTCAGGTCCTGTCTCCAAATTTGACTCTTATTGCCATGACAGTCATTGCTTGGCCAAATGTTAGTTAGGCTTCTGAACCTTCTCCTAGGCCCATCTATATACTTCCATTTAAAATCCCATTTTAGCAAAAGAATCCCACTAAGTCATTTTAGCCAAAACCCTTTATTTCAGTATCTAATTATCCTTGATTCCTGACCATCCTCAATACCTGATCAGGTTCCTAATCCTCCACCACTCCCCAGGTCATATCTGATTACCCTGGTCTGTCTTCAACAAGAATCCTATTAGTTTTAGCAAGAATCCCTCTTATCAAACGTTTCCTGTTACTAATTTTCTATCCACTTATCTCTCACACTGGCCCATGGCTATAAATTCCTACTTAGCCATATTATATTGAGAGTTGAACTCAATCTCTCTCCTCCACTGCAAGACCCCATTTGCAGTGGTCCCTATACCCATCATGATGGCCCTGAATAAAGTTTTCCTTACCATGCTTTAACAAGTGTCATTGAATAAGTTTCTTTTTAACAAGTTATACAAAAAGTACTGTGGACAAACAGAGGAGAAGTAAGCACCTAAATCATCCTGGGAGTTGCTGAGACTCACTAAACATGATATTATAGTCTTTTACATTTCCTGCAGATGAGAGTAGATGGAGTTATTGCATTATACAAAGAAACAGTTGACACATTTCTGTATTATAAAACTCTAAAAAAGCATATGGCTTCAAGGTCTCTAAGTTGAGGTCACTCCTAGAATCACCTTTTATGAAAAGCTCAAATCTGCTCCTCCTAATTTCAGAATAGAATTATGGTAGCTTATAGTATTAAAACACCTCTAGAAGGAGAGAGCTAAAAAAGAGATAGGGGGTTATTTATTAGAGATGGGATCTCACTATGTTGGCCAGGCTGGGGTACAGTGGCTTTTCACAGGTGGAATCATAGGACACTACAACCTCAAACTCCTGGGCTCAAGTGATCCTGCTGCCTCTGCCTCCAGAGTAGCTAGGTCTATAGGTATGTTCCACCATGTGCCACTATTTGGTTTTTTTAATCTAATCTTTATTTTTTCTTTTCTTTTTTAAGGGACAGGGTCTCATTACGTTGCACAGGTTGGAGTTCAGTGGCTATACACAGGAACAATCCCACTACTGATAAGCACAGGATCAGTAGTTTCAACATGCTCCATTTCTGACCTGGGCTAGTTCACCCCTCCTTTGACAACCTGGAAATGCCCCCAGATCACCATATTGATGCTTAATTTTGTGTGGACACCAGATCAATATAGTGCTCTATTGCCCAAAAGTCCTAGATTTAAGCAATCTTCCTGCCTCAGCCTCCAGAGTAGCTGAGACTACCGGTATGTGCTACTGCACCTAGCTGTCTTTTTTTTTTTTTTTAAGGAATCAAAAACCATTTAGGAGGAGAATTAGCCAATGCTAAAATATTAATTTCAAGTTAACTCAAATACAGTCATCAAATACTCTTTGACATTTATATTTATGCAAGCACAAGAATGGGATAGAATAAGACAAGCCTTGTGATTTTTAAAAATGTGTTCACTTAGATTTCCCAGGTAATTTAAATAATCTGGACATTTTTGTATTTGAAAGGTGAAAACTACAATATTGAAGAGTTAAACTGAGGTCATTAGTAAACCATTCTTGTTTCAGTTGAAAGTGGCTAAACACTTTATAGTTGTTTATAGTCAGAGTATTACTTAAAATTTCATTACATATACAGAACTTAAAGTACATGTTCCCAGCTAGATTAATTTATATTAAGATTTAACCTACTACTAGTTGGGTATGCTGGCTAACACCTATAATCCCAGCGCTTTGGGAGTCCAAGATAGGAGCATCCCTTGAAGCCAGGAGTTCAAGACCCGCCTGGGCAATGAAGTGAGACTTCATCTCTACAAAAAAAAAAAATAAAAGATTCTGTTCATCTCTCTTCCCCATTGATGTATGGGGTTGTTGGTTTTTTTCTTATACATTAATTGAAGTTCCGTGTAGATCCTGGTTATTAGACTTTTGTCAGATTCAAAATATGCAAATATCCTTTCCCATTGAGTAGGTTGTCTATTTGCTGTGGTTATTGTCTCCTTTGTTGTACAGAAACTTTTCACTTTCATAAGATCCCATTTGTTTAGTATTGCTGTTGTTGCTGTTGCCATGGCAGTCTTCCTCATAAAGTCTTTCCCCAGGCCAATACCTTCCAGTGTTTTTCCAATTCTTTCTTTGAGGAGTTTTATTGTTTCACGCCTTAGATTTAACTCCTTTATCCATCTTGAATCAATTTTTGTGAGTGGAGAAAGGTGTGGGTCCAGTTTCAGTCTTTTACATGTAGATATCCAATTCTCCCAGCACCATTTATTAAATAGGGAGTCTTTCCTCCAGTGAATGCTCTTGTTTGGTTTATCGAAGATTAGGTGGCTGTAAGTTGTTGGTTTCATTTGCAGGTTTTCTATTCAATTCCAAATATCTATGTCTCTATTTGTGTGCCAGTACCATATTGTCTTGACCACTATGGCCTTGTAGTATAGCCTAAAATCTGGTAAAGTAATACCCCCGGCTTTGTTTTTGTTACTAAGGACTGCCTTAGCTATACGGGGTTTTTTTCTGATTCCATATGAAACGCAGAATCATTGTTTCCGAATCTTGAAAGTAAGATGTTGGTATTTTAGTAGGGATGGCGTTGAATTGGTAAATTATTCTGGGAAGTATAGACATTTTAACATTGTTGATTCTTCCAACCATGAACATGGTATGTTCCTCCATTTATCGATGTCCTCTGCTATTTCCTTTCTTAGGGTTTCACAATTCTTAGGAATTCATAATTCATGCCCAAAAAAATTAGCTGGGCATGGTGATGCATACCTATAGTCCTAGCTACTAGAGAGGCTAAGGCTAGAGGATCACCAAAGCCCAAGAGTTTGAGATTATATTGAGCTATGATCATGCCACTGCACCCCAGACTAGACAACAGAGTGAAACTCTTGTCTCTTATTTAAAAAAAAAAAAAAAAGGAAAGGAAAAGGAAAGAAAAAAGAGATTTAAATGACCCAGCTACATCTCTTAGGCTTTATTATGCATATTTACTACCTATAGGTCTTAAAGGGCACTAAAATCATTAGAACTATAATTTAGAAAATTGACAGCCTGAAATTTTTGTTACTTTCTTATTTCTAAATATTGATTTCTGGCCAGGGGCAGTGGCTCACGCCTGTAATCCTAGCACTCTGGGAGGCCAAGGCAGGTGAATTTCTTGAGCTCTTGAGTTCGAGACTAGCCTAAGAAAATGCAAGACCCCATCTCTACTAAAAAAATTAAAAAATAAAAAAACTGAGACAAAAGGATCACTTGAGCTAAAGTTCAAGGTTGCTGTGAACTATCACACCTTGGCACTCTAACCAAGGTGACAGTTTGAAACTCTGTCTCAAAAAAAAAAAAAAATTTGATTTCCACCCTCACCTCTCTGTCTGGTATTTTGTATTGTTCTAGGTCCTTTTCTCTACCACTCATCAATGCCTTTTTCTGATTTGGGGAAAAAAAGTTTTTTAAGGTAGTTTTATTTAATTTTACCCTTTACCTTGACTTCTAGACTTGCAGGATATCCAACCTGTGGCCTGCTCCAACCCTGCAGGCCACAGGAAGATTACTTGAGGCCCATTTTGCTTATCTGTGGTGTCAGGAGTCATGAAAAGTATGCACACACTCTTTGTTTTTGTTCATCAGCTTTCATTAGTGTTTGTGTATTTAATGTGTGGCCCAAGGCAACTCTTATTCTTCCAATTTGTACCAGCCAGACAAGGAAAAAGGTTGGGCACTCCTGTCTAGAGTAAGTCTATTTAATCAGTGTTTTAATAATACCATGCTGGTTGTTTATAATACTTAAATAGTCTGTACTTTCATTCTACTAACTTTTTAAAACACAAGTAATAGTTACCTTGCCTGATACCCTTGAAAATTTTATTTTCTCAATTATTTTCATAGTCCAATTGTAGGTCATCTCCTAGGCATACATTTGATATCACCATCTTTTCTGGTAACTGCTATTATCTTGTATTATATGCCATTCACAAGCTCTTTGAAAAAGTGTTGTATAATCATGACATATACTGGTTAACTAAAAAGAAAAACAAAATGAATTAAGAACTAAAATAAGTATAAAGCAACTTTATACATGGGAGTGAAGTTTTTCCATTTCTTTCCCAATAAGGCAGGGAAAGGAGTTCAACTCAACTTCTTTTCTATTTCAGAAAACAAAATTTAATTTAATAAGTATTTGTTGAGTATCTATTTATTCATTTATTCTTCTGACTAATTTAATTTATTACATGCCTACTATGTACCAGACACTGTACTAGAGAGCATCAGCATCACCTGGGAACTTACTCACAATGCAAATTAGGAATTTACCCTAGGCATGCTGACCCAGCAATCTGTGTTTTGATAAGCTCTTTAGGTGATTCTGATGCATTTTACAATTGAAAACCACTGGGTTAGCTGTTCTTCTTATTAT